ATATATACATATATATATGTTGTATACCTATGTATTCGTGTGTTTAATATCAGAAAATATGTTGGAGAATGTCATGCCGTTTATTCAATCCGTGTGAATTTGCGCTGTGTACGTTTGCATGACTGTCGGTTTTTGTAGCTTTCTTATTTGAGAATTTCTATGCAGAAATGATGTCTGATATCTAAATAGTTTACTTTTCAAACTAGTGTTCTATCAAGTTTTATTTGCGGCATCTGGCGTTTGTGCGCTCTGAAGATTGAAGCGATTGCAATGTATATGTCTACCAGCGGATGCTTGGTACTCGCCCTACTTATGTAGTCGGATGCCTCTGCAGGGCTCAGTATCATCAAGTTATCTAAGCATGTGTACCGTACTGTGCTTGCTGCTTGTTCTGGAATATGCACTGGTATCAATGCAACCGAATATTAGTATAGATTTTGCCTCTCGTCTGCACTTGGGCAGTCGAGTTAGGAATTAACTCAGCTGGTTGGCTGTAGTACTTCAGTTGTTACTGTGGTTCTGTCTCATCATTCCCTTCGGGCGCGCTCCTCAGCCACCTGATTTAATTCAAATACAGCCTCTCATCTCTCATAGTCAACTCTTCATTTCGCTCTCCCAGCTCACGACTCTGCTATACAGTTTGATATATATAGACCGTATTAACATTAGTGAAAGATACGCATAAAATTAGTTTCTGTTCCTACTCAACATCGAACTTTAATCTGAAACCACTTGTTTCCTTCCCTTTCTACGTGTGCAGCGATACGAGGGCCATGGTGAATGCTGGGCTGAAATCCGAAGCTGCGTAAGCACACTTAAAGAGGGTTCCGGTGTTAGGGCTTAGGGTTTAGGGTTAAGATTTTAGGAGCTCGAGCTGACAGTTTGTATGCCAAAATTCAGTGAATTGTGATTTCTGCAAAAATTTGCAATCGCCCGAATACAGTTTGCGCACGATATGTGGTTGCCCGCTGAGTGGGCGCTATGTAGCGTCCATGTACATTTCAATTTAAGTGCGGAGATGTATTGATCTGCGATATGACATTGTGTTGCTGCGCTAAGCTCTTCATGTAATACCTCTGAAACTTCCTGTCACGCAGTTTGACTTGTCGTTGAGTTGACCTCATCTGCCTTTTAGTGGCTGTGGTTCTGTTGATCTTAAGTCTTCGCATGTGATAGACTGGACGTTTGTAGTGGGTACTGTGGTTGGTAATTGATCTGGCTCCCTCAATCCGAGATAGACTAAATTCTTCCCGGGCGACTATGACGAGTATCTGTACTGCTTCTTGCTATTCCAACAGACTGAATGACTTCTGGGTGGCTATGGAAAAGAAACGAACTGATACAATCCGTTCAATCAGGCTGAGTATAGAAATTGACCTTATCAATCCATTCTATTATAGCAGGCTAAGCACATAAACTAATTAAACTAATCACGCTAATTCCGTCCTCGAAAACAGACTGAATGACTTCTGGGTGACCATGAAAGCTGGCCCCCACACAGACGATACAGTGACTGAGATACGGGAGGGCAAGACTGTAATGAAAGCCATCTCCATCGATCGAATGATAGAGCGTGTGCTGCTTGAGGTACAGGAGATGAGCCGCAAGCACAAGGGTATGTGTGTGGTGTGGCTGTAGTGTGAACCGATTGTAGAATATGAGAATATTTTTATACCGAGTATGAGGGTATATATATGTATTACGCATAGGGTTGTGTAGCGGTGTATGCATACGCTGCCTAATAATACGAGGTGCACATAGTTTTGTGGGTTTGTGCTATCAAGGCCATCTCCAATAAGTAGTTGATAGAGTGTCGTGCAGGAGGTACAGGAGATGGGCCGCAAGCATCAGGGTGGTGTGTGTGTGTGGTTGGAGTGGGATACATGAGCACAGAGTATAGGTTTATTTTGCTGAGTATACTGGTACGTTTGCAGAAAGCACGCGTGTACACCAAACGTACGGATATGAGTGTGGCAGATACAAGAGTTTATATGACCGAGGTCAAATACACATTCTATTAGCAGAGCACGTGCTGCTAAAAGTGCAGGTCGAGGGTCGCCTTATCAATGCGCGCATGGACGCCTATGTGTACCGATTCACATAGCTTACGCGATTGATCGATTCATATACCAAGTATTATCATTGCCCTACAGATGAGCTCAAGTTCAAGCGCAAACGGGCCAAGAATGAGGATGCCGTGTTCTCGTCGTCTATGCGTGTGGCGATGAAGGACTCGCGCTACCAATTCTTGGACGATGAAATCGGCATGCTGGACTTTAACAGCCTCACACACCAGGTACGTGTGTGGAGAATATATTTATATTTATGCCGATATGGGAAAAAATCGAGAATGTGTGTATGGTTGTTGGGATAGTGGATTTGCGTGATTGAGTGATTATGAAGGACTCGCGTTGTGATCTCTTGCAGACTATAGTACGGCCGAATCTGATCGACTGAAGTTTGTTGCTAGCCAGGTAATGACTTCATTAATTGGTCCAATGCTGCAGTATGCACGTACGATATTGAAAATCTCTGGAAATAACCACAGTTCCTAGAATTTTTTTTTCGTTGACATTTTTTTTAACGTAATCGGGGGTCCGACGTAATTTATGTATTTGAAAATATATAAGAAAGACAACAACGTAATAAGAAAATTCTGGGTGCCCAGTGAAGGCACGAGCAACCCTATGTTGCCTATGATATTTTAAACTATCAGATTTTACCTATGATTGGCTAGGTTCGGCCTAAGTATGCGCCTATCACAAGTCTGTGTTGTTTGCCTATCATACACATGGGATGGTGAATTATATCAGGAATAATCTGTGCTTTATAGCGAGTGAGTATCATTCATCGAGAATATCGCCGAGCGTGTAGTGACGCGTGCTTGCAATGTTTGCCGTTTTTATCCGATGATTCATCAATGCTCACAAGTACAATCGAATCTCATCGGATACGCTCAATATAGTATACGTACTGTATTTAATAATAATTTACACCTTTGTGTTAAGTGCCATCAAATCTCATCCACCGAGTTTCGTTACGTTTTTAAAACTGTACTGTACACGCACCATTGGCATTCTTATGGGGAAGGATAATAAGCTAATGCATACACTGATAAATTTTCACGTTTATTTTTGTATTTGTCAGGTGATCATCTCCCATCGATGGTTTATCAAACCACACGAACTCTTCCACAAGCTCATAGAGGTAGGTGAAGTGCTGTACTTGCTCTGTGATATTTGCTATTTGGTCGCTACTAACAGACACACACAGACACACACACACACACACACAGACACACACACACACACACACACACACACACACATTATATATATATATATGTGTTATTATTTATATATATATATATATATGTCTATGTATATATATA